CGTAGAGGGACACTGTGGTAGCCATTCCAGGCATCGGTGACCGTTTTCCAACTGTCCTTGGGTACCCGGCGAGCAAGGTGGAAGGGCGATTCGGTGGCAAATGTTTCACGTTGGCAGAATTTATTCAGTGGTGACAGGTCGACAGTGCGGCGAGGTGAACCATCATGTTTTCTTTGTATTACCATCCTGTGGCACCATGTGATTTCTGGTCCCTCCATACATGGCAGGGTTTGATGCGGGCATGTGTTGAAAGTGGATGAGGCATATCTGTCCAGGAGCCAAGCTTTCATCTTTCCGTTGTTTTCAGGTGTGCATGGAAACGGCAGTTCCTGAGGGCGGCTGGGGACAGTTGATCTTCGAGGGCATGAGCATGCGTCCTCTGAGGTGTGGCTGCCTGTGTCTGTGTTTTGGCTCGTTGAATTGACATGAGAGCTGCAAGCACATGTTGGGAAGTCCTGTGGTAAGATCGCTATGTTGAATAGCGTTTTACACGACAGGTACATAGTGTTGACTGCGCTACTAACATATACCATAGAACGGCATGTCACGTCTCTTCCGGTAGTGTTCCTGCTGGTTAATTTTGCGAAGAACTTACCCTCTATAGGGATTAGAGAGCTTAAGATACAACGGTTCCGGGTACCTGTACGGGTAATATCTACCCGTAGCCGTACCGGCCTTACGGGTACTAATCTGTAGTTAAGATTCCGCGGGATCGCTGTAATAAATATTTTCATAAAAGAGCCTGGGTACTAGGCGAAGAATTCAAGATGGCGGCTCAGCAGATAAGGTAGGATTTTTGTATTTAGTCGAGCTTTTATTGATCATTGCGTTTTGCTGGCCGTTTAAGAGTTTTGAAACCTCAATTTTGAATGCTTCTTAATAAATTTTGTGAAATCATATGTGGTGTTTAATTCCAAGGAGGACGATAAACGATCTTTCTTGGATAATGGCCAAGGATGATGAAGATGACTCAGATGTGGAAATCTTGCTACTAGATGCGTTAGATAGGGAGCCTAGGCCTTTTCAAAGCTCCTTTAGGATCGACTTGGAAGCTCTGAATGACAAGGAATGCATTGACCTGTTTAGGTATAGAATTGAATATAGTTAAAGTTGCATTCCTATCTAAAACAAAAGAGATGTTTATGTTTACTTATGTAAGTAGAGTGCTTTTAGCGTACATAAACCGTGTATGAATAGTCTAGCACAATTACTACTTATTTCTAAATATTTAAAAAACTGTTATTTCTATTGTACAGTCTATTGTCTTATTTTAATAAGACAATAAAAAAACAAATAAAAAAAATAAAAAAACAAATGAAAAAAATAAAAAAACGTAACAATTAGTAATGGTTTAAGTACGTTCACTCTACTAAATCATGAGTGCAGTATAACTTAAATAGCACAAAAGAGGTGATAAATCATGCATATTATTTTGTTTGCTGTTGTCTAATCAGCACTATTTATTGGTATTTTTAGTAATAGAGTGAAAATATAACTGTGAAACACTAATTGCTACTAATAACTTGCAAACTAATGAAAGTTGAACAATAGAAAACAATAAAATTAGCATAAAATATTAACATTTAGTTTAACTACTGTTTCACAGCTATAGTTTGTTCTCTACTGTATATGTTTCATGAATTCACTGTTTATAATCAAATATTTGTTACCTCATTAATTTTATAAGAAGAACTATGAGATGCAATTTCATACATGTGCTATCAGTCAAAACTGAGACTGCAAAGAAAAGCTTTTTATAATTGCTTAATTATATATAATACGTTTTTTGAAAGTGTGCAACAGTAGAATTTATTTTGGATTTTTAAAATTTTGTGCATTAAAACTATCTTTTAATAATTTTACAATCATAAATGTATTTTTAATAGCTAGCTAAGCTTTAGTGGGATTACCCTGCTTAAATAAAGGTTTCCATATATGATTTTAGTTGTGTATTTCCCTCTCTAGATTCAATAAAAACGATCTAAGGCTTCTCCATGAGCTATTACAAATTCCAGAGGTGTATAAATGTCCAAATGGTACYGTGGCCCGTGGTATGGAGTCCCTTCTTCTCATTCTCAGAAGGCTCTCTTACCCAAATCGTCTATCAGATTTATGCCCACTCTTTGGGCGACCTGAACCTGAGTTAAGCATGATCCTACATGAGGTATCTTACTCTTATGTAACATATCTATGAACTAACTGACTAAATGCATAGAATATCCAAAATTTGACCCCAGGTTTTAGATGAATTGTATGACCAGTTTGGTCATGTCCTTGAAATTGTGGATATGAATTGGATAGATGGACAAACCTTTGCTGATGCCATTCATGCTGCTGGGGCATCTCTTGATAAATGTTGGGGGTTTATTGACGGCACCCTCAGGAAATGCTGTCGGCCAGTTGTGAACCAAAGGATTCTGTATTCTGGCCATAAACGTGTTCATGGCATTAAATTTCAGGTGAGAATAAAGGATGGAATTATTCATTCCTTATGNCCCCTACCGTGGTGCATTAGTGACACCTCAACAACAGCAGTTCAACAGTAGCATGAGCAAAGTGAGGGAATCCGTGGAGTGGGGCTTTGGCAAAATCGTTCAATATTTTGCATTTCTTGATTTCTCCAAAAATTTAAAGATTTTATTGCAGCCTATTGGGAAATATTATGTAATTGGGGCATTATTCACTAATTGTCATACCTGTCTGTATGGGAGCACAACTGGTTCATATTTTGATATTGACCCCCCAGATTTAGAAATGTATTTAAGTGGCTGAGTATTTTGGAGTTTCATAACAAAATATGATACAAAGTTATTATAATTTATTATTGTTGTGAAGTTTTACAAACAAAATTGGCAACAAGGAGTATCAATATTCTATTACATAGGTAAAGTTCATTCAAACAAAGACAAAGGATAGTTCAAAAATATTATTTGCAACTATATTATTAAGTTTGAAAATCATGATTAAAGTACATTAGCATAAAATCAGCTAGTTTTCCTTCTTCTCAGTGAGGGCCAAAAGCATCTTATTTTGCAAAGCTATGTTTTTTTCTTGTATTTCAATCCTCCTCCTTTCTAGCTCCAAGGCATTTTCTTTGTACTTCAGTTCTCGATCACGGTAATCTTTCTGAGCTTCATTTTTCTCTTGCAAGAAGCTGAAAACATCTGGTCGCTTTGTTCTTGTCTTTGCTGTGAGTAAAATATACATGCATAAATAACAAATTGCTTGTTTCTCCTTGGATATGAGCTCCAGTTTTAAACTAATTTCTTCCTGGAATACAAGTTTGTTGAATTTTGCCAATATGATGAAGTTTTGAAAAGCACTAATGTGCTTCACTTTTTGATAGAATTGAGAGTTGGCTTGGTTATTTTTAAACCTTAAAAGGTCTTTCACCAAAATACAAAAATGGAATAATTTAAAAAAACTTGCCTTTTTTCTTACTTGGCCCTGGTTCTTCATCACTACTTTCATCACTGTCTACTTTATTCTTAAAAGGGCTTTCTGAGAAAAATGATTTATCTCTTAGACAAACATTTTTTATCAAAGTGAATGTAGCCATCAAATGTAAAACAGTACTCACTTTTAGAGAGAGATTTCATGGACGCATCTCTAAATGCCAATCCCTTCTTTCTATCTTCAACATCTTTCTTTTTATCACTTTTTTTGTCTTGTTTTTCAGTAAGTTGGTAGGCTATCACATCATCCAATAACTGTTGAAGTTCGCTATATTCTTCCTCTGTGCCTGATCTAACATAAACAATAGTTTGATTTTAAGGCAAGAAGAAATTGAAAACACAACAAATATCATTTCTTCATTTAGAAATGGCTTAACCAAACTTAGAGTTCAACTCCATGTTTCGTGACCCTGTGCCCATCCCCATGGTACCCTGGCCCCACCCTCAATCATATTGCTGTCAGGTTTATACTTTCAGCTGTAATGCAGTATTTCAAAGAGATTCGCAAAAATGCTTACGAGAATACAGACAAATTATTATAGACGAACACCAATTTATCTCCATGCATTCTTTATACTCACTTTCTTAAAGCTTGCTGGTTTTCCTCTTTGTGATGAGCCATCATGACCTCGAAGTGCTCTTTACATGAGCGTCCTTTCACTTTATTTCTTGATGGATCTTTAGGCCAAGCTGCCTCCAAATTTTCAGCAACGTTATCCCAATTTTTCGAGCTAGCAGGTCGCAGAGAAACAACTTCCTTAGCCAAATCGATATCGTGATTTAAGTGCCATCTGAACATCTGTTTGAAAACAAAGTAAATTGAACCTTTAAAAGTCTTAGAAATTCGACTGTGCATAAAAATTGTGAATGAAAATAAGCTTTCAAGTTATTCTAAACGCATACCATATCACTGGAATGCAGATTTCATTCATGGTTTTAGCATTTTAGCACATTACAAACGTAGCGCCATCTTTCCTTTTTGAGAAGTTCCATGTATACACGAGAAATCTTATTTTTAGCAAGTGGCAAGGCTTTATTTAGTTCAAAAATCCACCTCTTTGAGGAGAAAGATTCTCTGCTTTCAATTAACGAAACTGTATTTTGTTTAAACTCGTAAAAATACAAGAAAAACTTACCCGTTTCTTCTYCATTGTACCCGTTGGAACTTTCCGTGTAGTTGGCACTTTACAGCTTCCCGGGTAAACTCGATGACGTCATCATTTAACTAATTCAAAATGGCGATACCCGTACCCGTGTCCTGAAATCGTTGTATCTTAAGCTCTCTATTGGTGAACGGTTGGCTGCCGATAGGCTGAGGCTGACGGGGGTTAGCATGTCTCGAGAGAATCCGCTGGCCAGGAAGTCTGTTATGGACCATAAGTCTGACTGTGCTCCGGTGTCGGCGACGTCTGATACTTCCGCTTGAGGTATGTACATATTACCTTGGCTGCTGCTGGTATCTGTCGCTGGGGAGTCGACCTTGAGCCTTATGCTAATCGTAGGATGAGCTCGGAGGCGTGCCCGTCGCCATTCACCCTTTGAGAAGATGTGATTGTCGAGTGCAATCGGCACGTGGTTATTGGAGGAGCCCTGTGTCGCCCTTCGCCGTATCTTTTGTCGACGCTTTGGTTGTGTAGGGCGGACAGGATGCTGATGGAATCCCTCTATCTGGGAGATCTGTTCGGGGTCTTCGCTGGCGTAGACTGCGGATGTCGAGTCTGGGGTTGTCCCCCGTGGGCGTTTGTTGCGGCGACGGTTTCGATAGCAGGTGATGCAGACCTGATGGGGCTTGCTGTTCCAGCCCCTTGCTCCTACCGTGTATATCTTAAACCTTTGTTGGCAGTCTGGACATGTAGCCTCTAGACTGGTCTGTGGAAGACGGTACCGGTTGTGGTGTTGCTGCCGGGCTTTCATTTCGTGGGTTTTGTTGGCGACGGAAGGACGACATGGCTGATAGGCTAGGCGATGGTAACGCGTTGCGGGCCTTTTCTTTGCTCTCTACTAGTGAGATCACTTCATTCACTGGTGTTTGGATTATGTTTGTTGTTCCCAGGATCTCGCGGCGGATATCTGGGTCTGCGATCCCATTTAGAAGGACGTCACGTGACATATGAGCCGTGTAGTCGACGTTTTTCCCACATTCGCATTTTGAAGAGAATTCACATGTTTCTGCCTTTCCTCTAACTCTTGCGGCAAAGGAGCGAAATGGTTCGTCGCGCTCTTGTCGAAGCTGTAGTAGTTCAGTTCTCGATACACCGGTTGCTACGGGAATGACTGCTAGGGAGCGCATCGTGTCTAGTAGCTGCTCTAAGGTGCCAGAGGTGGCGGTTGGGTTCGTTTTGAGGATCTCCCAATTGGGGACCCGCGCACTGGAACAGCTGGGCCGGTGCTGTGGCCTCGCTGATGGCTGAGCCAGTGCGGAAGACATTCCATCTCCTTACAAAAATGTTCCATTCCTCAGTTGATATACCGACATCTATTCTCACTGGTATTTTCGCACTCAAATCACCATAATTAGTACAATTTCGTAATCCACCAATCCCTGGGGGCCTTGTGAGCCAATCAGGTGGGTTCTACGCGTATAATTACCTTAGCGTGAGTTATATCGGTCATTCATTTCGTAAAATTCGAAACCGAAASGACGACGTCGTTTGCTTGTTGTTTTTCTCTCATCGCTGCGCCGTCTTCATGGATCAAGTGCCCGAAGCTCCGGCTAACCCAGTGGCTCAAATT